ACCGTCTGAACAAAAGGTTTTTGATAATTTGGTAAAGCTAGGGCAGAGGTTGACACAAGGGCCTGCTTTATATTTTGAGATTTTCACTATACATTAATTTGTTTAAAGGTGCCACAATTTCCGCATAATTAGGCACCAATTTATATTATATTATTTTTATCACCTCATTTCCCTTTTCCCCCCCGTTTAACACATGGCATTGCCCATGTGTCACAGACACGTAAGCTTCTAATAAAGTGTTTGGGAGGACAGGTGAACTCATAGGTTCACTATAGAAGATATTTTAGCAGACACGTCTTTTAATTGCAGGATTATATTTTGGTTATTCTTTGTTAAATTCAGCAGCTTTCAACATTTCTATCGAATTCCTCAAGAATAAAAATGTCCATCTTTAAATTAACCAAACCTCAAATCCTCTAATCCAAGATTTTTCTTTTGAATTTGACTATAAATCAAATCTAGATTAAAATGTTTTAGACTGAAATCTAGAAAGTGTTGCTGTCATTCACAATCATCAATTTTTAGTACCCAGTTATATCTATCAGGTTGCTTAAAATCTCAGACTTCCACTTAACCTTGCATTTCAGTCAAGTTAACAACGTAAGTTATTTATATCTAATATGAAATGGTCAATAGTTTCATCCGTTACTCAATTCTTTAGCAGTTTTTCTTTATAGAACTAACTTGCATTCATAAAAGCATCAACAAAAATCACACAAAAACCAAACCAATTTCAATCAATTTTGAGATTCTTTATAGGATTAAACTCTAAATTAAATTTGAGTTAAATTCAATTATCAATTATTTTCAATATTTAGAGGCGTTTAATTCATTTCCACAGTAGTATACTTAAAATGAATTATTTGTCACTTGTGAGGTTTAAACCTAATTTTAGTAACGTTAAAATATATATATATATATTTATGCACCGGTATCGCACAGAAAGTCAATTTATTTTATGATTCCACTTAACGTGTCCCAAGCTGCACATATGTCCACCATTTCATCAATTTGGTGTGGTGGTTTGTCTTTTTGGGGTGTGATAAACTCTGATCATGCTGAGGATTACTCCTGTTTGAGGTCTCCTCACTCCACCACCCCTCCTGTTGTCCCGTGCAGCATTATTTAAAGTGCAGTTTCTTGCCCAGTGGCCAGTACCGCCACAAATCCAGCAGCCATTTGGACTGCGTGGATTTTGTGGGGTATTGTTTTTGGTTCGTCGCCTATTGCGACCTCCTCTGTCTCTGCTTTTTCTGCGACCTTTCATTGGGCCGTTGAAAAAGGCAGAGGTTCCTAAACCTCCAAATTCATCCAGCTGAAAAACATCTAATCCTTGATTAGGTTTTTCAAAGATTTTTTCAGCATGAATTGCCCACGTGGTTAATTGTGAGACAGGGACAGTTTCAATTTCAACCAGGTGTTTTCTTATCCATCTCCCAATTTCAGGGCGAAAGCCCGTCAGCAAAGCATTTTTCAGTTGCTGCTGATATGCACTGGTGTCATCTTCATTAAAAGTTATCCCGCTATGCATTTTAAACTCTTTTTCAAAACGCAAACGGAAATCATCTACTTTTTCTCCAGCTTATTTGTTTTATCCCTGCCAC